GTAGAACAGTCTGCGGCTCGAGCTGTATATTTGCATCGCTTAAAATGTGTCACTCTTCTTTGATTTTAATCTTTCGCTCTTCCAGTCAACCCTTTTATTCTTCTCTCTTAACCAAACAGGCCACATCCGCTAATTGAGTACTGTAACATCTCCCTGCATACTGCTGCTCATTGTGGTCTTGTTTTGCCAGCCATTTCCTGTTTACTAGATGTGGTCTGTGCTTTTTGAAAATAGCAGTAGCTTGGTTGGCATGTGTGTCATTTGGACGGGGCTATTTTTCCCTGAGGAGGTTTGGGAAATTTATATTTCACGGCACTTTGTGATTTTAATCCTCTGGAGTTTTCTGAGAAATTGGGAGAAATTCTGAGAAATTTTCAGAATCCCATCCGGATAGGAATGTCTGCAATTGGGGTGTATTATTTTTTTCACAATGCCTCTCTTTATTTATTTATTTTTTTAACTTCCAGTAAATACAGTAACTACATTTACATTTCTTGTCATGCTGCCTTTTGGTTTGATTCAAAGATACAGTGAAACTGTAATATTGTGAAGTATTATTTAAAAACTTACTCACACCAAACTGTAGTCAGATTAACACTATTAACACATTAATAATTGTACCTTGAAATCACAAACATTGTTTAGAACAAGGATTTTTAAACTGAAAAATAGTAGTAGTATGTATGTATTTTTGAGGCTGTACGTTAACTGTAAAACTGTGAAAACTACTATACAAACATTTGAATCATAAATGTTTCTCTTCAGGTTTGTATACAACACTCTAATAGTGGGTAGAAAATAGATATGTTACAATATTTTCCAGATAATACTCTTAATAGCACACTTTGGCTTCTGTTTAGTAACAATATAAAAGCAAGTTATTTTGCAAACAACATGTTGTCTTTATAATGTTGCACTTAACATTTTCTTACAAAATGTAAACTGGTGTTAATACAGTAGCTACGTTTAAATTTTGGGTTCATAGCTTCAAAAGTTTGAAAAGCCCTGGTTTAGAAAACTGCTCCTGTCCTATGCACGACTTAATTGATTGTGAACTTCTCATTTACGGAGTATGCCAATTAAGAAAAATTGCTTTGTGTTAGTAGATGACAGCATATGGCTCTCTGCAGACCAGAACAATAGAGATAGTAGGAGTGGAGAAGACCAAATGATGAGGGGAGAGGAGAAAATATGAATAGAGAGACGAAAGAAGAGTGATAAGAGACAGAAGGATGTGCAATTCGATAAAATGAGTGGAGAAAGGAAAGGAGAGGGAAAGAGAAATGGAAGGCCGATAAAGAGAAAGATAAGTAAAGAGGAGGAAGAGAAAGATGAGGGTGATAAAGGCTGGGTAAGGGAAGGGAGAAATGATTGCAGTTTATGGATTGAACAGAAAGAGAGTGAGAAAGAATGGCGTTTAGGTAAGCACAGCACTATCGGTGCGATAAAAATCAAATGTATTCAAATGGCTGCAGATACATCATATGGGTTGCCTACTGGGCATGCAGGCTGCTGGACACTTACGGCGAAGCAGAGAGAAGCCGCTCTGGCTGTTCAAGCTCCCTGAGCTCCATGTAACATCATCTGTATGAGAGGCTGCATGCAGAAGAACACGGTTTACGCTTTAGACTAATACAATAGAGAAACCAGTGATTATTATGCTTGATGCTAAGAGATTAGGCTTTTTCCGATTATCAAAAATGTCATAACAGTTGATATTACTTCTAATTCTAATTCTAATTAAGTTTAGTCACCAAGTTATTTTATGTACAATGATTCCCATCAGCAGTGCATAACATTGGATTTTAATGACTCCAGTTAGTACTATATGGATGTACCTTCAAAACCAAATCAAGCACTAATAAAATATGCATTATAGTATATTCGAAATATTTGCATGCAAAACAAAATTGTGTATCATTAATAGGGCTGTGTATCACCAGCAAAGTCACGATACGATACCTATCACGATACAGAGGCCACGATACGATGCGTATCACGATACATGAATTTTGAACACAGCACTAATCATTAATACACAGATCATTTTGAATGGTCATTAATAGACCTTAAACAGGTTAGAAACCATATTGAATTTAACATGGATAAAAAAGTGGCTGTGACAATGGCATGGCATGCACTGTATAAAGGTTGTAGATCATGTAATTTTCATAACTCACAACCCTCAAAGCTGTTTATTGGAGTTTTTTAACGAAAGGTGTTTTTTTCCCCCTGTAATACCTTTTGTCGGCTGAACAGTCAGTATGTTGTAGTACAATCCATTGAACTTACTGTACCTCTATGCCTCACAGCCATGTTTTCATTCCTGACAAAAATGAAATATGCCGCTACCATGACCTATGGAAAAAGATGTTGTTTGGAGTCAGATGGTGTCCTTACGGTAGCAGGGACTAATGTGGTCATGCTAACCAGCCAAACATTGACCCCTTGTTTAAAACATTAAATGGTGTTTTTGTTGTTGTTGTTGTTTAATTTAATTTAATTTAATTGCAGTCCTAATGTTTAAAGACAGTCTTGGGAAAGGACTAGAGAAAGCACCTAAGAATAGTCTCATTAGATCTAATTAAGTTAATTTACTTAGCGCTAGTTTTCTCATTTTGGTATCCATGAAAAAAATATATGGCATGCGGGTGAGTAGATGATGACGAAACTACAAACATTTTTTGTACCTGTTTATTTCTATTGTTGTTTTATTTTATTGTATTTATTTATTTATTGCTTCTTGCTTTTAATTCAAGAAGCAAACATCTTCTTCAAACACCTGATTTTATCAGTGATTAATTGCTGTATCACTTCAGCTGTCAAAACTGCAGCAGTAAGGCTCCAGTAGCACTTCATTATTTCTAATTACTTCCAAATGTAATCCATTTACTGTGTATCCAGGGCTCTCCTTCAAGGATCCATTATGTATTTAATTTTGGTAGATTTTCTATAATCAATACAGACAACACAGACACAGGAAGCAGTCTTTAAGGGAGTTGGTTTGTGTGCTTTGGGTTTTCGTTGTGTATTTATTTGGTCTTTGCAGCTGCGGTTGACCACATTTGATCTTTCACATAAAAATGGTTGTTAAGTCGTGCCTTAAACTGTTCTAAAATACTGCATTTACTGAAGCCAAATTAATGACCTCACGTTCCTGAGGTGACGACAATCAGCTGCACAGCCATATCCGGGTGAGGACCTTCCTCAGTCACCATGGTATCACCATGGTAACAAGCTTAGAGGAATGAGAAAGAGAATAATCTAATCTCCCCGTTTCAGCTGCTGTGATAAAGACAGGCGCAGTGCCGTCTGGAATGGGAGGTGAAGACTAAAGAAAAGTGTCTGGTTGTGCTTAGAGTTTGTGTGCTTAACATTCAAGCTGAGTGTGAACATGTGCACTGTTTCTGTACTGCAGTCCATACTGAGTTAGAGTCCATACTGTGTCCGCACTGTTTATCAGTATGTGTCACTGCGGCTGGAAAAGGCTTTTAAAACATCACAACAGATATAATTCATAAGTTCATCTGATAAAAAAGCCCTGTTGAAAAGCTCTTGGCCTGGGAAAACCTGGCCATAACCTAGCTTCAATGAGAGGGTGGTGTTTTATCTTGGATTATTAGGTTTATATACTATTTCTAAGGCTGAAACCTATTTTGAACCAATGATTGAAGGATGACAGATTTAATTGTTTATCTGTTAAATTAATATTAACATAGGAATTACTTATATTATGGAGAGATGGAAAGAAGCAAACGTGTGCACTCCTGCAGACAGCTTGTAGGGAATGTTTCCTCGCACCTACACTTAGCACTACATTTATTTTGAAGTTCCAAAGCAAAGAAGTTGGATAACAGCAGGTATTCATGTCTCTGTTATTTTTATTCTTGTCAGAGTTCATAAGAAATTTCATACGATTTTTTTAATCTTTTTTTTTTTACAACAATTTTATTTCTGATCATCTACTCATTTCTTTTTTGGCTCATTTTTGCTTTTAATTAAACTGGGCAGGGCAATTATAGTTCCCAGCATGCTTTGCATGGAACTTGATTTTGAGGGGAAAATGTAAAGACTTTAATGTCCAGTTACGATTTGATTTAGAATCACTTCTGGTCCATAAAGATGGGGTCCTGAATGTTCATGTTAACATGGTAAAATACTATTTCTAGTTGGTTGATAGTTAGTTGGTAGTACCTAGTAATGTAACTGAGTAATGCGACACAAATGAAAATGGATCATGTCGTGGGCAGACATAAAGTCATGTTGAGACTGCTGAATTTGTCCAAAAAATTTTTTTTTATCCATTATGTTGAATGTACATGAGCAAATTATGTTTTGTGACAAAGAATTATTGAACCAAACCACATTACTCTATGTGCTATTATTTAACATGGTAAAATACTATTTCTAGTTGGTTGATAGTTAGTTGGTAGTACCTAGTAATGTAACTGAGTAATGCGACACAAATGAAAATGGATCATGTCGTGGGCAGACATAAAGTCATGTTGAGACTGCTGAATTTGTCCAAAAAAATTTTTTTTATCCATTATGTTGAATGTACATGAGCAAATTATGTTTTGTGACAAAGAATTATTGAACCAAACCAAGAAGGAAAAAATCAGTTAATGTAACCTAATTGATTTGTGTGGAATGATATACATGATTAAATTATGTCAATTCAAACCTCTTTTTTTTCAGTATCCTTATTCTCCACAGCTGA